GGGGGGGGGAATTGGGGGGGGCCCAGGGGGTTTTGGAACCTTCCAGATCCTTGGGGAGGGCTCCAGGGGGGATTTGGGGAGGGGTCTCCACAGGTGAGGGGTCCCAGGTGAATTTGGGGAGGGGTCTCAGGTGAATTTTGGGAGGGGTCTCCACAGCTGGGGTGTCCCAGGTGGATTTGGGAGGGGTCTGGGCCCCCTCAGGTGAATTTGGGGAGGGGTCTCCACAGGTGAGGGGGTTCAGGTGAATTTGGGGAGGGGTCTCAGGTAATTTGGGGAGGGGTCTCAGGTAATTTGGGGAGGGGTCTCCACAGCTGGGCGAGTCCCGCCCCATCCACTCCCTTCACATCGGCAACGACGGCGCCGCCTTCGTGGAGGTTCTGGTGGGCTCCTCTGCGGGGGGCGACTTCCAGGTGAGCCCCGCCCTCACCTGGGGCTACCTGGGGTCTCACCTGGGGTCTCACCTGGGGGTACCTGGGGTCTCACCTGGGGTCTCACCTGGGGGTACCTGGGGTCTCACCTGGGGGTTACCTGGGGGTACCTGGGGTCTCACCTGGGGGTACCTGGGGTCTCACCTGGGGTCTCACCTGTCCCTTACCTGGGGTTTCCTGGGGTCTCACCTGGGGTCTCACCTGGGGGTACCTGGGGCCTCACTTGGGGTCTCACCTGGGGTCTCACCTGGGGGTACCTGGGGTCTCACCTGGGGTCTCACCTGGGGTCTCACCTGGGGTTACCTGGTGTCTTATCTGGGGTCTCACCTGAGCTTCTCCTGGGGTCTTACCTGGGGTCTCTCCTGGGGTCTCACCTGGTGTGTTACCTGGGGTCTCACCTGGGGTTACCTGGGGTCTCACCTGAGCCTCACCTGGGGTCTCACCTGAACCTCACCTGGGGCCTCACCTGTCCTTTACTTGTCCCTCACCTGTGGGTTACCTGAACCTCACCTGTGTCTCACCTGGGGGTTACCTGAGGGTCTCACCTGTCCCTCACCAGGGGGTTACCTGGGGGTTACCTGGGGGTCTCACCTGTCCCTCACCTGCTCAGGTGCTGCTGCCCAGCGCCGCGCTGATGTCACCTGCCGAGAGCCGCGCGGGGGCGGAGCCTCGCCGGGTGCGGCTCTTCGGGCCCGAGGTTCTGCTGAAAGCCCCGGCCCGGAGCGGCTGGGACCGGCTCAAGGTGGTGCTGAGCCAGCCCTACAGCCAGGTGAGCTCACCTGAGGGGGCGGGGCCTGCGGGGGCGGGGCCTGGATTCATTCTGCCCCTCCCTCCCCCCCCACAGAGCCGTCCCTTCGGGCTGTCATTCATCCGAGTGTTCGCCGAGGGGGAGGGGACGCAGCCGGGGGGGGCGGTGAGTGACCACTGACCCCTGAGTGACCCTGAG